GAGAGAGAGAGAGAGAGAGAGAGAGAGAGAGAGAGAGAGAGAGATATCTGCACATACACACAGGCGACTGGGGAGTGCCTGATACAGAGAGGGGGAACGAGAGAGGAAGAGTGAGGAGAGGAGAGGAGAGGAAGGGAGGGAGATAAGCGCCTTAGAGGGTGGGAAAGATAACGACAGATAGGGAAAGCAGCATGGAGGCCGAAAGTGAGCGAGCGAGACAGACACAGGAAGAGAAAGAGAGAGATATAGAGGAGGCGAGAGGCTGAATTTAATAAATTAGATCAGGCGCCTTGCCGGTTTCCTAGCAACCCAGACAAGACGAGCCTGGTCTGGCCTGGTCTGTGCTCCAGAGTAAAGGTCTTTCTCCTCCGCCTCTTCTTCCATCTCCCTCTGCCTTTCTTCTTTCCCCCCTCCTCCTCCTCCTCCTCCGCTCACTCATATCAGCACTGGGCACAATCACTGTCCCAGTCATTGTTACAGACGAGTATATTTAGAAGCAGAACCATGTACTGAGGTAAAACGGTGCCACAGATTTACAACTCAGATACTTAGGCCTGCTTGTTTGATCTGTTTTCTGTTAATAAAATTACTTGTTAGCCATTATGAGCATTTGATACACTACTTTTACATAATTGGTACATTATAACCCAAAATGTATCTTGTGTTACCCTATGAGTGGAACCAAATTAATGTTAATGCGTGTGACTACGAAGGAAAATTAATAGCTTACAATGATCTTACTGTTGTATAATATTTCTAAGGGATGATGAACAAAATTAGTTATTGTAAGTTTATGTTTTACACATGTAACACACATAACAATGAATCACAATATTGGAAAATATATATGTTATGCTGCTTGACCCCAAATCAACACTAGTCGTTAACCTTTGTGTTTTCCTGAAATTTTTTAAAGCTGCAGTAGGTCACTTTTATAAAAATAACTTTTTGTCATATTTCCTGAAATTTTCACTGTGTTCTGACAGTAGAACATGAAACAGATAATCTGCGAAAAAAACTGGTTCCTCTGGCTCATCCTAGTACTTCCAATGGCATCTGCAAGAATCGGCCCAAATGAAAACAACCAATCAGAACAGAGAATTAAGAGACTTCGGGTTGGAGGCTTGAAGAAAGTTGATTATTAAGCCTCATTCCCAGGGTCCCAAAGCATCTGGGAATCAGACTCAACAAACAACTATCTTTCTTGGCTCTGATTGATTTGTTGAGGCCCGGTGGATTCTTGCAAATGCCATTAGGACCAGTACAACGAGCCAGAGGAACCTGATTTTTTTCACAGATTATCTGTCTGATGTTCTACTGTCAGGATATAGTGAAAGTATCAGCAAATATGACAAGAAATGTCCTTATAAAGATGACCTACTGCTGCTTTAAGAGTGACTTTCAATAGGGTGTAAGTAGTACTGTCAGGAAATCAGATTTTCACTACATGATTATTGTGGTCAAAAACAAGTCACAATAACCATATTATCACGATATCTGTAGAAAGCTGAAAAAAATAAAAATGCTATAAGTAAAATGTATCTTTAAAGAATCAATCCAGACATCTATGGTGACTGTACAAGTTGCATACTGGACCAGGGCTGACTTCAAAACTATTTGTGATGTCACAAATCCTGCTGGTAGGCCCCGCCCCTTAAAATCAGATGTTCAATGAGCACAGAGAAACTTTCCACTTTCAGCAGATGAATGTGAAAACATCCTTCTAGAGTCAAACTCTGCACAGACAGCATTCAAACAGCACACTGTAGGGACAAGAAAAGCACACAGTTTAGAGTGGAGGGGGGACTTTTACTGTGTGTTTTGTTTCTTTTCTGGCAAATGAAAGCAAATAATGTGTAGGGGGGTGGAGATAATTAAAAAATGAAATATCATGGTTACCATCAATACTGGAACACCCCATAGAAGTAGGAATGCGTAACCCTTGAAGATTTAAACAAATAGTTCAACATTTATAAATAAGTTGGAGTTGGAGTCAGGACGTTGGTAGCCTAGCTTAGCATAAAGAGTGGGAGCAGTGGGGAGGAGTTAGTCTGGCTCTGTCTAAAGTTCAAGAATACACCTAACCAAAGCTTGCTGATTAACAGGTTGTATCTTATTTATTTAAATCCTTTACAAACAAATTCCAATTTGTGGTTTTTAGTGGGAGTTACTTGCATGTCTTAACTATTACTTGGCAAACATGTTATTAATCTGCTCAGTACTATGCAGCACTATCCAGCAGTAACACGAGTAACCAAATAGGGTCGGTGAACACAGGTGTGCACAGGTATGGTGCCTGGCTGTTGTTGACCAAGAAAAACTTACTGAAAAAACGTGTAACTTATAGTTCCCTGAAATGGCAAATATAAGTTTTTACATTTCTGTTTATGTACGTGTTTATGTTTTTATGTTTCTGCTGTAGCCCGGAACAGACAAACCAAACACTTTTTTAGATAGGGCTGTTTACTGCTGTACTTTCTCCTTAATGCTTGGAAGGCGCGGGAGGAGCAATGGAATTACAATCAGCCATTCGATTACACCACTAGGTTCAACAAAATCCTACACACTGAACTTTAAATCTCACTTTTAAATGACCAATATTTAGCATATTCATAGATTCTGATTTTTCCCATGAGGGAGAAGAGGAGCAGATGTCATTCTGGGAATTTAACAACATAATGTAAAAAATAAAATTGTGAAAAACCAATATTAGTCACAAATAATTATTCCAAGCAGAGTATTTCCATGGGTCTTTAAACGTCTGAATGTCATCTTATTTGTAAGGAAACCAAATATTTGCATTCCCCAAAATGTTGAACTATTCCTTTAGTTACTGTTTCAAAGGCTGCTCTGCCATAGGATACACTCTGGGGGAAACACACCTGCTGTGGTGAATAAATAGAAACAGAGCTGAGTCAAATGCTATTTATTATATTACAGCACAGCTTCAGCTTTATTTTTCCCTCAGTGATGGCTGAAAAATGATCAGTCTAATGTGTTCTGTGTAATCCAGTATGACAGGTTGAGCGTCACAGTGCAAGTCAACACACTAAAATTTACCACACCAGTACACATTTTCACTTGTTTAAAAAAATAATATCAGCGACTAGACTGAACTGTGTAGTTTTTTTAAATCTGTTTCTAATATAAATCAAGTATGTTTCTAGAATCACATTTTTCGGATTTTGTCTTGTTTGAAGGAAGGTGACCCACAGCATCTGTACATATGAACAGCTCATTCTAAGGTAACAAAAACACACCAATTCTTATTTTTAGGTAATTATACACTAATGAAAACATACCTATGAATATTATATTCCATTTCTCACAATAGATCCTCCTCAATGTTACACACTGGACCTTTAAGACAACATGAATATCAGTGATACACAAAAAAGACTGGAGATTTGTGATGAAGATGCTGTGGTGGTTGGTAAATGGTTTGCATATTGTGTGACTGGCAGAGAAAGAGAAGCATCAGGCTGCATACATATATTTGTGTATATATGTTCATCTGAGCTCTGTCTTCACCTGTGGGGGCTCATGTGAGCATTGGACCGCTGCAGTGAGTCACAGCACAGCAGCACAGGGCATAGACCGTGGCTCAGATCTTCATGTCACAGAAGCAGTTTGATAGCTGTCTGCTGGAGAAGCTTTAAGGCATGACACAGCAAAACGGACAATTTCTAAACGACTCAAACTGCAGCGCCTCGCTCTGCTCTCTCCAACGGCAACAGAGATTCAAACATATTCTCCACTCCCTGCTCTGCCTCCACGTCTGGCCCCTCATAACCTCAAAGGATCAGCGGCCTTCATTTGGAGCAGATTTTCTGTTAACGAGGCACCTCCCATCTGATTTGGCCGTGACTGGATGAGTGTTTGAAAAACTCCAGCTCCAATAATCAACCCTGTGATTCATCAGTGGGATATTCTCAGTCAGTGCAGTGACTCACAGGTCTGTAGTGGCCCCACCCTGCCACGTTGTGTTTAATGGTCTCATGTCAGAGGAAGGATGGCATTACTGTAGCTCTACAGGGTGTACCCTGAGGTGTGCTCCAAGTTAATTGCTTGATATCCGACTAATGCCACTGATGAACCACCTAAGAGCTCCAGTTTGGCAGTCTTAGTGGGCGGGGATGTATTTCCAGATGTAAGTAGAGGCATGATGTAATATTCTTATACAAATGATGAAGTTCCTTAATGAAGTGAAAGAGATTCTTTCTGTTTCCAAGGCTAATCAACAGCTACTGTACCACCGAGAGGAGACTTCATTACACCCACCTCAATCATTCTCCAAACAGCTGAGTGGGACAAAACTGCCCCTGCCGGCTCCGTATGACTCGGAAATACTTTCACATGAGCTTGCATATTTCCCTTGTATCGATCAAAGAGCAGAGAGAATAAAAACAGATAGGATGTCTTTTACGATCGATATCTGTGTTAATGTTGAGTCCGGATCTAAGGGTGGAAACAGAGGTTTGGGGGGGGGGTGTACATCCTGATATCCTCAGTCCATTTAACACTCCCTGTCTCCAGAGCAGTGTTCATTGACCCTCCCCGCTATCCTCAGACAACCTTTTGGTAATTGGCAATGTGGAAACATATCTCATGTCACATGTTAGTTTCAGACTCGGCAAATGAAATAAAAAGGTGGAAATGAGTAGTGCAAAAAGAGGGAGGTCTCTGTACATTTCCACAGGCTCTCCTCATCTGCACATGAGTGCCCTCTAGTGGCGGAGAAGGAACACCGCAAGGGCCCTTCGCTGAACACAAACGCATAGGGATCATTTCTCTCACTGGCAGAGGGCTGACAGCTCCGAAATGATAAGGGGGAGCTGGAGGAAAAATATTGATTCACCTGGCTCCATTAAAATGAAAAGCAAAAGAGGGAGGAATCAAAAGGAGGGGGCGAATGGTGCGTCGCAGATTAAACGCGTGATACAAACACAAGTTAGACCTACATTATTCATGTGTGACAGAAAACAGAGGTGAGTGAACCATGATCATACCACAGCTTGCATTTTATTTGTGTTTAGGAATATGGTAGAAATAGCAGGTGTCCGGGGGCAGTTTGGGGAGCATAATAACTTTTACATTACAATGAGTATTAAGCAACAATTCAAGAAAGTCAGTAAAACTACAAAGACACATTTCCTTGTGACAAGTCAGCTCCAATATAAACGACACAGTTCTCCATCTGTGAGACATCCTGTGGCCTACTTAAACTCTGAGGTTCTGCCTTTCATATTATAGACAGATTACATTGGAGCATTTCAATTAAGAATAAAAAGAATCTGATTGGTCTAAATATATTCTTTCTAAATGAGCACCAGAAGAGGTAGAGAGGCACCGATCCTATGTAGAGGCTTAGCAGACTGTCCACTGGTTTCTTAGATGTAGTGGATTTTAATTGACATTTAAACACTGCAGTCATTGACTTAAAGGCACACTGAAGTGATCTAGTATTGCACTTCTACTAAGGGGGACTTGCGAGAGACAGATTTAAAAAAAGAGTGAAAGGTCAAAATCACTGCAGCAGAGGTCAATACATCTTGATGTTCAGTCCTTAGTATAGGTCAAGCTCCAAAACTGCTGGATCCTACACTTCCTACAATGCAGCTTGATAGCTTCTTTAGTAAACTCCATGCTGCCAGTTTGCGTTCTGTTGTAAATCTGTAGTATACAAACCCAAGCTGAGATAACCTAGGTAACATAAACAGGTTATATTTTTAAAGATTTCAGAAAAGTTGCTCCACAGCCAAGTTCTGGGTCTGGTTCCAGAAGTAAACAACAAATTCATTCATCCTTGTTCAGACAAACACTTCAACAGACAGACTTAAGAGGACAAGTGCTTGGGATTGTTGGGGGAAGGGATGGGTGGGGTACCTTTCACAGATTATTCACTTGAATAATGCTCCTGTTATATGCTTGCATGTACTTCCGTTTTCAATAAACAATAAACAGAGAGTCTAGCTGCAAAGTTGGAAAAACAACATTAGAAGAGGCTGCTGGTGGGCACCCGGTTAGCTCAGTCGGTAGAGCTGGCGACCCAGATACGGCGTTGCTGCAGCAGCCCAGGGTTTGAATCCAACCTGCAGCCCTTCGCTGCGTGTCATCCCCTTTCTCTCTACCCACCTTTCCTGTCTACCTTCGGCTGTCCTACCTAATAAAGGCATGAAAAGGCCCCCCCAAAAAAAAAAAGACGAGGGTGTTGGTGGATATCTGAGCATCATATACTGTATCTGAATTTGATTTAAACCTTATTGCTACAGTGAAGTATGACATCTAAAGTATGTGTACATACACCATCACATTACCCTGCTGCCTTTTATAAAGACAGATGAAAAAAAGTGGTTTGGTAACCATCCATCCAATCCAAAGCCATTTGGGGTTCCAGCTGAGTTTAGCATTATGAAACAATTTCAACTGCTATAAAGTGCCTCTAAAATGTCAGAATATAATAGCATCAGACACACTATATTGATCTCGGGGGGAATTTGTGAAATTATTTAGTATAAACAGCACTACTGCGGTTTGGGAAAAAACAACAAGATAATATTATATTAATAAATAAAAGGCAAATACGACGTATGTGGCCATTGTTGGAATAATACTGTATGGATCAGCAGGGCTCACCAGAAACTCTGAGGCATCTCTAAGTGCCGACTCACTATCGCACAAGCATACTTTATACTGTGTGTGAGGCACAAGAAAACAAAGGCTATATTTATAACAGCTTCTAAAAATTAAATGATGCATTCAAATGGTTTTTTTGTAGACAGCAGTCAAAAAGGTCTGAGGGCTGTGCACCAGCTTCAGAGTGTAAAACAGTCTTGTAGGTTTCAATTTACTATTTTGGCCTCATTCTAGAGCTGATATGCATTCACACTCACATTAATGCAACTGAAATGAAATTTTGAAAAGCCAAAAAATGAGCACAGAGGACAGACGCTGTAAAAGATTATTGCTTGCTGCAGATAAATCTGTGGCTGCTTCCTGCTGCTGATGCAGTGATGTACTGAAGAGTACGCTTCCTGTCTGTATCAGAATCATATGGAAAAACCACAAACCACAGGTCAAGCACTGTACAGGAAACACCTAACACATGACACTGTAACTGAGCTTTCTGACTGCAGCATCACTGATTCAGTTTCAGAGTGATTCATTTAAGGCGTGGATAAACATAATATCATTATATCACATTAGAAATTACTCTCCTAAAATTTCTTAACAAAAATACACAAGGATTCAGGTATCTATTCACATCATATAAAAATACTGTTTTTTTAATTTGTTTCGTTATCTTTGCACTGCAGATGACTGCAGGAGCTATCAAAGGCCACATATGGACAATATTGTACATTGACTGAACACTGAAGCAAAATGCCTCCTTTCTTCATTTGATAGAAGCAATTCTGAGAAAATATAGTATAACTAATGCTTCAATCACATGTGCAAGAGGCTGCAGCACCACCTACTGTATGAGTGTGCTGCGGCGTGACGTAAGAGGAACATGTGATGCAGGCCCACGGGCATTATTTCATAATTGCTGGAATGCTGGTAAAAAGCATTCAAAAGGGAACTTGATCAGTGTTGTTGTCAGGGGGTGTATTCCAACAATATCACAGAATTAGTGGTGACATAACATGTGAACTGCAGCGTGTCATGACGTACAAGTCAAATGTATGATATTTTTTATGTACAAACTCCTTGTTCCTGCTTTGAGGAAGTGAGATCCTGTGTTACCACACCGGCTGATACAGTGATGTCGGTTATTGGTGCTCCCCTTTTTTCTCCAGAGTTCACTAACCAGACTCGTCTCTGCTTCAGTCCACTTTGTCACACGCTTGCAAAACTCTGTGGTTGAAGTCCTCTGGCTGGTCAGCGTATACATAGTGTCCGGCTCCACGAATCGTCTGCAGAACAGGAAGGGAAGCGGGTGATTAAAAAGAGGAGGTGATATAGGAAGAGAGGCCATAAAATAAAGTACAGCTCTTACTGGAGAGCGCTGCGTCTTTGGTTTATCGCTTTTATAAAACAAAGATGGAGAGTTATGTTATCACAAGACAGTAGAGAGGAGCCTTCAGTTTTATAATCCTTTATGATCACATACTTACCTTTTATTCACACCCTACTGAGAGGAAATAAATGACTTTCTTATGATGTATGTATCACAACAGATTAGAAATAGCTTGTTTGCAGCAAAGATGAATTATAGACCAAATTCTTTATTATAAGTAGGCAAGAAGGTTCATATAGAAAAACATAAGCAAGGGATAATTGTTGATTTCTTTTTCTACAACATTATTTTGTTATCCTTACTCAGCCCCTGTTTTCAGTTGATCTATTCTTAAAATGTTTTCTTGTCTTGCATTGGGGTCATCATTTCTGACTATGAGCATGAGGTGCATTTTTTTACATTGGGAATACTAGTGTGGTAAAGTCATCTAAACTCTAGGTCCACTTACTAACCAAGGTTCCACACTTGTCCCACTGTCACAGGATGACATGATTTGTTGATGAAGACCATAAGATACCGTGGAAAGCTTAGGAAAATCTAGAAAGCGGGCCTTTGCAAAACACAGTTCAAACTGGACAGAAATAAATTAAAACTCACTAAAACTGTCTTTGTCGTTCTACAGTCTTTCCAACAATTATCAATTCTCACTTCACTGAATAAGATGATAAAGTAGTCCTCTGGCACAAATGCACCATAAGTACATCCTACTAAAAGTGCATGTTTTTGCCACTGACAGGCTCAGATTGTTATTCTAAGTGTCTGACAACATTATGGAAAGGATCCCTACAGAGATAGACCTTTAATTTAACTGCTGTAATATTGCTATCGCTTTAGACTCCATAGACAAAAACGTTATCTTTACTTTGCATATCATTGTAACATCATAACTTTATTCAAACAAAATAAAACTCAACAACTTTTTACTGTTTGACTGTTGTCCGCTAACAATCACATAGGTTTGCAGTCGGAAATGGAGGGACTCACCTGCACTAACATGACCGGCTTTGTAAACGAAGTACAGACCGACTGTGATAGCAACACAGGCGAAGGGAGTATAACTTTTAAGGAACCGGGGCTAACAACTCTTTTTGTCAGGCAGCTGAACTGTAAACTTCCATTTTAGCATAAAATTAACTGCAAGAAACTTTGCAATGTAAAAAGTTATATTACTGTATTACTAGCAATTTACAGTCTGACCACAGTATATCTATGACAGTTACGTTGAAGCACTAATGAGGTTTGGAGAAGGCGGATTTTTCCCAGGAAATTCTCTAGAAACACTGAGAACTTAATGACCTAATATGAACACAAGCACAAAGGGATATTTGATACATTTCAATTGATTTCTCCCCCAGTAATAACCGCAACCTTGCCAGCTGCACTATTTTACATTCTATAAATGATAATTAACAATACTATACAACTATTTTTTCCTGTCACTAAAAGGTATTGGCATGTATCTGTTGGCAGAAATGGAATAAGATATTCATAGGTATAATCGTGTCTTGTAAAGCAGAGATGTGAAATAGAAACCAGCTTGCTCAGTTGCCTGAGGAAAGGTTGACCGATAGAGCACACAGTCATCCTTGGACAAGAGATGATCCAGCAATATTTGCTCTTTCTGATTTACACTTTATATTCAGGAACAATCTGCAGTGTGATATAAATATAATTAAACAAAAACTACAACAGATCCTTAAGGAACAATGAAAAGAGGAGACTTGTTATAAACCAAAGATCAGAAACTATGTTCAAATCAAGGAAGATTACTACACAGAACTATATTTCATATTTAAAGAACTGCTACCTTACCACTGGCAACGGAGGTAGGCAGACATTAAGGTATTCCTGAAGAGCAGCATTTATGTGCTCTCTGTGATCTTGGTGTTATAGAGGATGAATTTCTTTGTCTTTTTCACTACCCGTGTAAAATGATTCGAGGAACCAATGCATAGCAATTAGGACTGTATCTGTCATAATAAGCAATTTGGTAATGAAAATGTAATCTTATTGTTTCCTTTTTTTTAATTTGTGGAATTGTACATTACTATTTATCATGTGCCCATCTTAGCTGATGTTGCTGTTTAGTGTCTTGTAAGCTCATAAGAATAGTGCAGAACAATTAAAGAATCAAAGTCAAATAAATCAATCACAGGTATGTTTTCATTAGAATATTCCCAGAATAAGAATCATTGTCTTTTTGTTACCATAGAATGAGCCGTTTATGTCTACAGAAACGCAGGTCGCCTTCCGTGGCTCCAGATAGGTGCGTTCGTGTTTGGAAGGGGAGCGTGAACGAGGAAGTTGAGATCTGAAACTAGATGCCACTAAATCATACACACTTGACCTTTAACCGTCGTAGAGTTGCCTAGCACATAGCAATAAATAAGTACAGGAAAGCAGAAAGTTGACCAAGGTTCTGACCGGACTTGCTCAACTCTTATTGGAGGACAGAGTAAAAAGAGGAGGGACTTAGGAAGGGTCAACAAACTTTCATCCAGTGCTCCATGAACTTACTATGATCTCCACATGAGAGTGTGGCCTCATCTGTTTGATGGTGCTGCCTGAGTTGCTGTCTATGCTGGAGCGGGATCCGTAGATGATGGTGATGGGGATGTCGGGCTGAAGCTGGTCCATCCTCTGCAGCATGGGTCTCTCAGCCCAGCCGTTGGGAACAGTCATGTTCTTAAAAGCCGTTTCCCCACTGTGTTGATACAGAAGAGCAATTCACTCGGCACAGGGCAGCAAATGTTGATGACAAGGCAAAACATCAGATAATAAAACTCAAATGACTGCAACAAAGGTAATGAATAAATTGCTTTCATTGCAGTTAAGCAATAGCAATTACATTGTAATTAAGATAAGCAGCAGCGAGGAGGCTCGACAGGGAGAGACAGACCTGGGGGTTTGCACATTCAGGTGGTAGATGTACTCTGACACAGTGTTGTCACTGAACATGGACAAGAACTTCCTCTTGAAGTCGGGTCTCAGAGTCTGGACCAGAGTGGGGCCTGTGGGGGCAGAACCAAGCATGTAGCCATTAAGAGACGATGCTGCCTCATTACATTTTACATGATTATTAACAACGGAGAGGGTTGGGGGGCATGGAGGGTACCACGGTGTCACTTGATTTCTCTGCAAAGTCTGGACCAGATCAGCTCTAGTGGAATTCTTGTTCTCTCATGTGCTCTTCATACAACTAGTTTTAATTAGAAGTCAGACTAGTTTTCTCTATATTAAAGTCCCCCTCCAGTCAGAAAGCAGTGTTTCTTCTTGTTCCTACATAGGGTTGCAAAGGGACGGATATTTTCCAGTAAATTTCTGGAAACTTTCCAGAAACTTTCCATGGAAAGATAAGCTGTGGAATTTTGGAAACATTCCAATTTGGAAACTTGCATGGGAATTAATGGAAATTATGGGAATTGATGGGAATTTAGGAGAATTAACTGGAAAAGTTGGGTAATTCATACAAACTCCATCTTATAGAAACATAAATATAAACATTTTGTTTTGTAATAAGCAGACAGGCATATACGTTGGTCGTTTTAATGTCGATTTTAAATGCTCTTACACACTTGTTTGCGTTGCTGCTTTAGTCCGGTCACCAATTTATGCATTGCACGGTGTTGCTGTGCGTGCAATACAATGTAAAGTTTTGTTTTCGAGCTGGTTTGCTAAATAGGCTAATGTAGCTAACAATAACACTAGCCTGCCACTGTCCCCTGGTGGCCCCTGGTGGCTCGAGACAAACGCTACAGCACTTGTTGAAATTGAAACAGGCGAAAATGGCAAAATATTATTGAAATGTGAGACTTGCAATAACGGAATTACTTGAAATGTTAGTGTTTCTGTAGAAAAACATATTATTATTTCACATTGAGCTTGTTTAGATGAGCCACAAACAATAACAACACAGCTGCTGCACTGGTGGCGTCCATGTTCTTTCCGACTCGTAATGCCCAAAGACAAATGGAACGCTAGAAGTGGTACAAGCCAGGTAATTATGTCACAGTCTCGCGTCAGAGCAACTCGGGCGGGGGATTTACGAGACAAATGGATAGCACCATAAGTGGTAGCCCAAACCATTGACCTTTACCTTAACATATGATGGTAGCTAGCATGCTGCCTACATACCCTGCATTTATATCCCTTTCATTTGCATACTTCTCGTTTAGATATAAAGTTTAGTAGTCAGTTCTATTATGTGTGATACTACTCTATTTGCTCTACTGTTACCTGTAGCCCCATTTATATTCACTGGATCCTGCAGCCACTACCCAGTTTCCTTTCAGGGATCATTAAGGTTTCATCTAATCTAATTGATGAAAACAGACTAGGAATCTTTGCTGAGTCACGTTGTTGGCCCAGACTTACCCAGTGGTCCGACTAGTCTCAGGCCAGCCAGGGGGTTGAAGGGACTGAACATGGCCCCCAGGGCCTTGATCCATACCGGGATTGGACGGTCGGCCTCTACTGTGTTTGGGCGCTCAGGGAAACCCCAGGGCTCCACCAGCACTATGTGCTTTACTCTTCAGGGAGAAGACAAAGAAATGAAAGACACATTATAAGTCAAATAGATTATACGGACCTACAAATATCTCCTAACCTGAACTAAAGCAATAGTTTTCAGGAAATGTTGCTTATTTGCTTTCATGCTCAGAGTTAGATGAGAAGATGGACACAACTCTAATGTCTGTGTGCTAAAGATGAAGCTAATCTCTGGTGCTGCTGGCCTGATAGACCTAGACAGGTGTGGTGGGTGGAGGTACCACATTACTGTATCTATGCAGTCTGCTTGGCCAAAACTATGAAAATAACACAGAAAACACAGATTGTAAAATCCATCCTTGGAATCAAGGACACATTTATATTTCAAAACTGCTCTACTCAATATTTTTATAGGGGGTCACAAGACCTTCTTGATTTTAAGGGGTGTAAGAAATCTTACAGTAGGTCAGCATGTCATTCATTTTTCTGAAGAAGAAGAAAACTAAGCGAAACTGTTATTTTTGAAGTGTGAATTATTATTAAAGATATAAACTGGTGATGGGATGGTGAAGAGCTGAACACAAGCTATATTCACAGAGCCTTCCATCTCTGCCAAAGAGCTTTGTCCTGCTTTAGATTGGACTGTAGCTAATAGAACAATAAGAAGATAAATAGAGTTAATAAAAAAAAGCCTATGTATGATTGTTAAAAAGTAGACAGAAGGATTGTGTAATAAGTTTAAAAAATATCAGGACATTGTACAGTTTGTATCAGTTGTTCTCTACTGTTATTGTTATGCACTGAATATATTATGAAATGTACAGGAAATAGTATACTCTTAGTTCACTCAATGACAGAAAAGGGCTCCCTTAAGGAGAAAGGTTGGAAACCACCATGACTGTGCTGCCCCTGCATCAGAAACAATCCAAAATCTACAGTATGCCAACTGTACTAAATGGCCTTAAATTACACACAGTATGAATTGTTTTTGTAATCTATTATGTTGTGTTCTAAACTTTCTCTTCAGGCCACAACAGGAACAATGAGCACAGCTTAAATCAGGACATATGTCCCTGATTAAGAGCGCCTCGTGTTAGAACTTAAAGGCCATTTGGAACGCTGAGATAACAATAAGAAGACAGGAAGAGGGATTTTTTAGCATTAGTGATGAAGGAGGGCGATAAGGGATTGAGGACATTTTATCAGACGTCCCTTGGGGAGAGCAGGGTGCCTGCTGGAAGCACGGAGCTGAGAGACGCAGAGAGAGGAGATGATTCAGGAGAGATAGAGTCTAGTGGGAGGAGAGGGGCTTTGGAGGACACTGCCGTTATCACAGGCTGCCAGCACCTGCAGGCATGATGCTACAGCTATATCCTGTACACATGCTGGCATGTTCCGCTACGGTTATGTTAGTGCTAAAAGGGCAGAATCATTATTCAAAACACTGTTCAAGTCAGAGTCATTTTTCTCCTTCCGGGCAGAGTTGGCTTCTTTGTTCTGTGTCTATTAACAGTCGTGGTTAGAGGAGGATTCTGGTTTATTACAACAATCTCTACTTACTCACTTATTCTGGGGCTTTTCTGTCAACACAGCACTGGCATATCATCACCTTTTAAGTTGATGGGACGAACTTGATGGCAAGCAGTTGCGTTTTTACACATCCAGCAGACACAGAGCAATATTATTATTCATTTGGAGTCGTGTTTGTGTCTTCCTGATTAATATTAGTCCAATATTCACTCTCTCTTAGCTCCGTTTGTAGTGTCTACCCACTCCTGAGCGAAGTATCTGTCTGTTTAGCTGCTGAATGCTCCACTACATTCACCCGCTAGTTGCTAACTGTATTTGCTGTTTGGTGCTGATCATGAAACAATAATACAATAACAATCACTAGTTTGATAACTTATTCATTGTTTACATCGTTTTTTAAGCAAAAACTCGCAAACCTCCTCTGGATCCTGCTTCTCTCGGTTTTATAACCTTTGAAACTTTGGGTTTTGGACAGTTGGTTGGACAAAACAAGCAGGCTGAAGATGTTAGCACGGGCTCTGAGAACTTTCAATGGCCAATTCTAACAATACTTATTGCCTTTATTGTGATCATTGTGATAAGAATGGTGATAAAAATATTAATTTTGTCTCCATCACCCATCCCTGCATCTAACAATATAAAAATATACAAGATTAATACAACTCAAGCTCTAGATTCGAGCATGACCGATATTACTGGCCCATACTGGCCTATGGCAGACATACTGGTATTGTATTGGTTTTCCTGTATATGTTAACTGATATGAAAATGTGACAAGAACCACAGAGTAAGAGAGAAAAAGCAGCTCTTAGCAATGTCAACTGTTGAATGTATATGTTCAATTATTCAAAGGTTCAAGCACAAGGGGGAGAATACAGTAGCCACAAACAGCCAGTATCTAGAGCCAGTGTTTGGTTTGGCGGCCTCCATGTTGAACTGCCATGGTGAATTTTCCCTCTCTAAAATCGGTATCTGTCTCAAAGATCCCATATCGGGCTCTACTCAAAATATTACAAAGTCTGTCATCCTCCATCTCTCACTGTCAGTCAAAAAGTCTCATTTGCTGAATGTTTCACATCAAACTATATCCACATGTCCTGACTGTGGCTGTGCCCTTGGTACAACATCTATCACACTAAATGCAGCTCATATCAACAAGATCTGCACCAAAGGATAAAAGATCCCTTTTAAATTAAAAACAACACAACCCTACAGTGAGATAAGAGAAATCCCATAATCTGCACCCACCTGCCTGGGTATTTAATAGAGTATGACACAGCCAGGTATCCTCCCAGGTTGTGTCCCAGCACTACCATGGACTCCAGACCCACTTGAGCCCTCCACTGCTCTATAGACTCCACAAACTGCTCCTCTGCCTCCTGAGCGTCTGTGGAGAACAGAGGCCTGCTGCTCTGTCCGAAGCCCAGCAGGTCCAGGGCGAAGACGGGCCGACGCTGGGACAGAGCGTCCAGGTTCTGGGCCCAAAGGCCGACGCCGCCTCCGAACCCCGGGAGCAGAACCATGGGGGTTTTGTCTTTGAGATGGTCACTGCTAAAGGTCAGGGTCCACAGCCGGTTGCCATTGGAGATGGGGACATACTTCTTGGAGAAAGTGCTGTCTACACCTGGAAAGAAAGGGGAGGACAAGGAAAGACATGAAGGATTTTAGGATTATTTCAGTTAAATGAAAGAGAGAAATGGAAATTGGCCACAACCTCACTCTTATGCCATTTATATTTGCTCTTATTATTTGGTTCAAGTTCACCAATTGTTGTTATTTTTTTGAAGTGACATCTTTTCACAATGCATTGGTGTATATTTACATTTTTATGTCAAATGGCATGCCAATAAAGTCTATTGAATTGAAAATTGAATTGAGTAAGTGAGTGACCACAGTTGAGTGTAAAGTCACTGAACAGTTCCTGCTCACATCTGACTCTTACTCTGTTCATTAATACAACTCCCACATTCTGATCAGAGGCCTATGTGGAAAGTGAAAGGCTGATCCTTACATCGCAGCATCCTGTCCTCTGCAGCCTGTAGCTGGACCTGAGAGGTGGGACACCATGACGGCAGCCAGCTGGGGATCCAGCACCACCTACACAGACACCAGAGCTCAACTTCAATCATCGGGTTTATGAAGTACAGAAAGGACATGGTGTCACTGCATGGGGGACTTTAGACAGAGGGCTAACTTAGACAGAAACAGAGAAATAAAACAGCACAGGGTACAAGCTAAAGCGTATATTAAAAACAGCATAAGGACTGAATGTTAGCATTTATAGTGTCTCAGAGCATCACAGGTGATCTCTCTTATTTCAAAGGCAGGCTCTGTTGATGCAGTGTGGTTAGGGGACAGAATGTTAGAGAGTGCAGAGCTGTAACATCATTGATGACCAAAGTCATCTTTTGGTCATTGTGTTTAATCTCTCACACAAGAAGTGAGTAAACTCATTTATTTTCAGCAAAATGTGCTTTTAATATTCATCAGGCTGCAGCATTGAGAGACCTCTGAGTGACATTATGTGGAGATGTCGACATAACATCTCTGCAGAGGAAACAAATGAAGAAATAGTGAAATTACACCATTTTCTCCAGTCCATATGTTTTTTTGTAAGGGGGTGTGGGGAAAGGTCTTTCCGTTGAGTAGTTTCTTTTTGCATAAAAGATTTTGATGATCACATAATAAGATTTGTTAGGCCTAAAAAAAAATAAAACAGATTGCACGCTCGGTGCAAAGTTAGTGGTGTTGGTCTCTTCTCTGAAAGCCGCCTGCATCAACTTCCTACTTACTACTACAAGGTATGAAACTCCCTGGTATAAACATTTTTAGTGTAACTATTTGATACTAGATTGCTATATTGATGCTAAACTACTCAATATTAAATTGAATATTCTCAGATTTATGACCTGATTCTGAATTGGACATTTTGATTTGAATTATTTGGATGCTAAAGATAAATTGAGCAGATTTGTCTTGAATTGCACCTGAATTGTTGTGTTTCCTGAGTTTAAGCTGATTTATTACTAAGGTGTAAATTCCGTAGATATGTCTTGTATTGACATGGGGGTGTTGAATTTGAACGGCCAGAAGAGACCTGATGCTGCCTCATTAATCATCTTCAGTAGGTAACTTTTATAAAAATTACTTTTTCTCATATTTGCTGAAATATGGTTGTCAAATACCAACACTGGGAATGAGACTCAACAATCAACTGCCTTAAAGCAACCAACCCAAAGCATCTTTCTCAGCTCTGATTGGTTGTTTTCACTCAGGCCTGGTGGATTCTTTCAAATACCATGAGGAGCACTAGGAGGAGCCAGAGGAACCTGATTATTTCACAGGTTATCTGTCTGGATATAGTGACATTATCAAATGATATCACAACAAAGTTACTTTAAACCGTGCAGCCCTGAGTCTCCTTATCTACCCAGCTCACTAACAATGTATGTAAATTAGTTAGCTAGCATGCTATGAACCAGAGGAAACACTGATTTCTACGAGGGAGGAATTTAATGGTTTATCTATAATGATACTGCAACAGTCTTGTGATTGAAGGGGCTACACCACGGGCCTGCAGGGTCTGCTTCACCTTATTGTGGTGTCCACATATCCCCACACACTGCTGACCAGACTGGGGACACCAACGACAGACAGCATCCTCTGAACAACCCTGAGGAGCAAAATGAAACAAAAAGTGGATGAGGGCAAAGTCACTGACTACTTGTGATGTGGTAAAATTAAAAAAAAGTTATCTGTGACACCATGTTTCTCCTTCAGTGTCATGTAAAAAACCTCTGGGCTCCATGTTGGTATGAGTGTGTACCTGAACTTCAGGGTAGTGTAAGTTAAACATGTTGGCACTGCTCACTAGTGTGACACGCAGATATCTTCCGCGGTTAAACTGGATTTTACAGTACAGTTGTAACGCCAACAGGGAGGCCATATTGATTATCGCCTGTAACACTGTGACCAACAGAAATGTAAGGTGTGTTAGAGGAAATACTCACCCTTCGTTCGCTGTCACCGCTTGCTCGGCCATACTGCTACACTGCCTCTGTTGATACTACGAGCGGTCACAGCCCTCAGAGACGCTGACGTATATGAGTGAAGGCGTTTGATTTGTCCTTCTGGATAACTCCCCCGCGCGCCGTCTTTACGGCTGAACTCAGTTATGTCAATGACGCGTCTGTCCCCGCTCAGCGCAGTGTTTTGTTTCATATGTGACACAAAACAAGCGCACCCGGCCGTACGGAGCGTGACGCACTGCGGAAGTAAGTTTCCTGTCAAACATCTAAACATTGCTACTTAGCAGAGGAGAGAGCTTTGGTAAGTAGCTAAGTATTGTCAGTATTATGTATGAATATTCTTTTTTCAAATACTTTGTGCGTATTAAACCTTACACAAGGTTGTCGTGTTTGCGCTGACAGCCTTTGGTACACTAAAATGTCACATTTGGAAGAAAACCGCAGTCTTGTGAGTCATACCTGTAAGTCATTAATGTTAGACAGACTAAAAGTGTTTGTTTGAAACTCTTACCGGGCACGTCTTATTCGGTAAATGCTCATTCAACTTAATGTTAATGTTTTAAAGTGATAGGAATATAAACACTTTAACTGCACTTTTTAATATATTTAATAAGAAAAAACAACAAAAAAAAAAAAAAATTTTTAATTTTTAAAATAATTTTTTTAAAAAAAAAAAAATAGGGGAAAGGGGGGACTATAATTTTGTTAACATAATCGTTTTAATTTTCAGATTCGGTGTAAAATATGTTGATAAATGAAATCAAATAAATGTCTTTTACAGCACAAATGTTGACCTATCAAAAAGTGAAAAGCACAGGTGTCATTGGTGCTATTGCCTGTGTTGTCTCCCTGAGTGGAAGTGAATCCACATCACAGTTAGTTTGTTCACATCTGGAAACAAGAACTACTGTAAACGAGGAGTTTGCACCATTGTTATGTTACAATGACGATGTGTGAAATTGAAATAATATCTGACTTACTTGTTACTAGTTGTGCACTGTAGTGAGGAATATGTGAAACATCACAGCAATGCAGCTCAGGGTTCACTAACCTTTGCCCCTATTAAAAAAATATATATTTTTAGTTTAGTCTTTTCACTACACAATTGATTTCCTCAAAAAAAAGAAAAGAAAAAAGAATATGGAATTGATAAACATAAATCTGTAATTTCATATAGAAAATAATGGTTCTTATTAAATAAAGAAATAATGGCAAAACAATAGAAAAGTCCTCAGGAGGATCACAGACTTTCAAGTTGCACTGTATAAAAACTATTGTGTGTCGCTTCACTCGTTGGGATGGATTTAATGCCCATTATTCTTACTTTTATTTCTTATTCTTACGCACTCATCTTACTTATGTCTTGTCTGGGCTGTTTTGTTCTATGTTGTATATGAAAAATGCAATAAACAAATACCTATTTACAAACAAACAACTGGGTGTTGAAGGAAAAGGGTTATTGGTGTATGGCTTTCCTACAAAATGAGATATAATTCTGAAAAATGACAACCCGATACTTTAAAAACGGAAATTAGAGTGTAAAAGTCGAAATGACCTATGATCCAGTTCGTGGATCCAGTGGGTGGATCAGTGTGTGGATCTGGATCAGTGTGTGGATCTGGATCAGTGTGTGGATCAGTGTGTGGATCTGGATCAGTGTGTGGATCTGGATCCAGTGGGTGGATCAGTGTGTGGATCTGGATCCAGTGGGTGGATCAGTGTGTGGATCTGGATCCAGTGGGTGGATCAGTGTGTGGATCTGGATCAGTGGGTGGATCAGTGGGGCAGTGGCCTGGCAGCCTAGCGAGCGCAGAGGGGCTGTAACGTTGGTGGGTGTGACAGCTGAAGTTTGCTGCGCCGCTTCGTGACGTGGACCATAACTGAAGTCCACCGGCGGGTGCAGCAGCAGCCGTCAGACTCCACACTACACAGACATGTCCTTTAACATCTAATCTGACTGTTCAGAGATCAGCAGGGCCAGCTCCCGCCCCGAGGCTGCTGGAACAAAGCCGTTTCCCCACACACATACACACACACACACACACACACACACACACACACACGCGGATCTGGGTGAGTACCGAGCTGCACCGATACACACAGAAACCCTCGACGAACCAGGGATTATCCCTGTAACAGTCAGTGTGGATTTGTTACAGCAGTGTGCTCTTTCCAGCTCTACCTTTCCACTAGTGCCTGTTTAACACGCGTGTCTCCTGCACGGCCCCTCCCTGTCGGTGTGTGTGGGTCGGTCAGCTGTTCCTGTCTGTATCTGTTGTCCACTGCCCTTTACAATTTATGGCTGTGTGTTAAATTCATTCGTAGTGGTAATGAGTGATGATAAGAGCACGTTATTGCTGGCAGTACACTGTGCATATAGGAGCAGCAGATCCTGACACACCTTGTGTAAGCCTGTCTGTTAGAATTCCTGAATATCTGCTTTGACTTTGCCCTGAGGACTACCATCTCTCCCTGTTCTGCTCAAATGTCTCTTTTGATTTTTCTTTATGTGGGCTTTTCACATTTAAGAAACACTCTGATATTGTTAAATCACACAATAGCGCCCCCCCCAAAAAAATATCTTGAAACAAAGTTGCAGGCACTGGGGAATGTGGGAGGAGATTTGGGGAGTTTGCTTGTCAGGATTGTGAATTACCTTTAGCTACAATTTACTTTTATAATTTAACCTCTTTAATATTTTATTTTCTATTATAACTGGGTGGCTGCAGGGTCTAAAATCCTTTAATAAATATATTAAATATATTTTTGACATGTCTTAAACATTGATTGGATTAATGAAATTAATGTTACTACGCATTTTTCAGTCTCCTTTTTAACTGTGTTTTTGGGAAGAATTGGTACTGATCATCCTGTAATCACAAAAACAAAACTACAAATCAAAACTAACATGGAACCAATACCAGTTTTTCCTTCATATCCTTTTCATGTCAGCATGGATGTGAAATTGGTCCCTAATTGCATTCATAATGGTCTTAAAATGTAACCTGTTGAAACCTGAAAAAATCCTGTTTATGGTTTTTCAATGAAAATAGTATATCATATATTTGATAATCATCATTATTATGAATATGAATTCTAAATGAAATATATTATAAATATGAATAAAGGACATTTTCCCTGGCATTCATTTCTCTCTCATTTGCTGTGCAGGAGCCCAGGCACAGGGGATGATGCTGCAGGGGTCAGTAGACAGCAGTGGCTCCAGGTTCAGTCCTCTGGTGGTGCTGGAGCTGGCCTCAGACACCAAGGAGGAAGCCATTGCATGGCTACTGAGCAGGATAAGAGACAAACAGCAGAATGGAGGTGTGAAAGAGTTAATCCTCTAATATTAGTTTACGCTGTGTGCCATTACATTAATAGAGTTATTAACCCTGTCATTTCTCCCAGGTGCTGAGCTGCTGGTGGAGCAGCTGGGCCCTGGGGCCGGGGCACAGGAGAAGGAAAACCCCAACATGTTTCTGGTGGGAGCTACGCAGCAGAGGCTGCTCTCCGGTGCTGAGGAGGTGGGGCTCTTCAAGGAGTTCAATGATGGATCCATGAGAGGCTTCACCTGCGCCAACAAACACAACTTCACAGACTTTAAAGGTAAAGTTCAGGAGGAGGCTACGTGAAGGCTGTTGTTTTTCTTATGGGAGAAATATCAAATGACTCTGCAGCTACCATCTGCCTTATGGAGCTCTATAGTGAGTTTCAGCTCATTTTTTAATGAGCTTTACTGTTTTGGTTCACTCTCATCGCTATGTTATTGTTTCCAGAAGCGACGGGCAGCTGTTCTGTGAAAGGGCTCTAAAAGCCACCGTACACTACCCGCTCAGCACCAAACCAGCCAGATATTTTCTTTTCATTTTATCTTAGAAGACCAGAGGTAAAAGAGATAATAATGTGGCTCTGTGTCTGCTGGAGGGTAAATAGGCAACAAATTCACCGTTATCAACATTGAAGGTGATTATATGTCAGTGTCCTGTTCACAGCTTGTTTCCACTGCCCCCAAGTGGCCAAAAAATATTCAGTTAATGCAGACTTTCTTCTGTAACTCTGCTATGAGTCTGAGGTAAAAAGCAAGTTCCTCTCATAGGCAATAAAGTTAGGTCCTGATTGCCGGGTCCATTTTAGATACTAAGTCCTAAGGTAATAAAATATCCAAATTTGATAAAGCTGCTGTAGGTAATTTTGTATAAAAATAACTTTTTGTCATATTTGCCGAAACTTTCACTATATCGTGACAGTAGTGCATGAGACAGATAATCAGTGAAAAAAGGTTTCTTTGGCTCCTCCTAGTGATCCTAATGGCCTTTGCAAGAATCTACCAGGCCCGAATGAACAACCAATCAGAACCAAGAAAGGCTTAAAAACTCTTTGGATTGGTGGCTTGAAGATAGTTGATTGTTGAGTCTCATTCCCAGCATTGATATTTGACAACCTGGTTATGAGACTCAACAATCAACTGTGTTTCTTGCACATGTATTTAAACATAAGAAGCCTAATCAGAAATAATCTCATATTGCAACAACACAAGACAGACAAGGTGCACACAACATTTATTTTATAAAATGAATTGCAGTGTCAGAACTGTTGTTGTTGTAATTCTCTGACTGCAGCATTGGTCAGAGTCTGAAATCACTGGCCTCGCTGCCACAGCTTCTGAACTGCTGAAGTATTAACATGCCCTTGTTGTGAATTTCATGGTGTTTACTGTTTTACTGTTACTGTTTGTCTCTAATCTGCTCTATCTCTCCAGGGGACGGGGACAGCTTCCTTAGCATGGCTGAGTGTCAGTACATCATTAAGCACGAGCTGGACACATTAAGAGCCAAAGATGAGACTCATGTACCAGGACACACCCAGGCCAAGCTCTACCCGGGGAAATCCATCAGTGAGTGTCTATCCTATGTTCTTTAAATACCTGACTTCTTACTCAGGTATTTAACTTGCTGGATTAAACCAAAGCAGACATTTTAATCTGGTGACTTTATCCAGAGACTATTTCTTTATTATTACTTCCAGAAAATGTGCTATATCAGGGTATATACAGTACAGTTCCCAACCGTTTTCCTTATGGACCCCTCTTCTATTATTTAGTAGATTTAGAGAAATACTCCATTTCGATAATCAATTAATCATCAAAATCCTATTTTGAATAAAAAATGGAAAACGTTGAAGTTCCAGTTTCTCAACTATGAGGATTTTTTTTTAATATATATATGTTTATATATAGAATATTGTTTGGTTTTGGACCATCGGACAAAACAAGCAGTTTAAAGACCTTAATGACATTATGTAGACTAAACAATGAATTGTTTATTGGGAAAATAATTTACACTAAACCAAAATGAATTGAGAATGAAAATAATGGTTGAATGCTGCTCTGCAGGAATAACTTCAGTATCTGAAACCAAAGCGAATGTTGCAGGGTACCAATTAAAAACAGCAGTGATAATTATTGTCTACATTATACAAATGGAAAGCAATTAATGAATAATAGCCAGTGAGTGCTGAACTTGAAGCATACAGCCTGTCTGCAGCAGGTAAATATTTTCTTCAGTTTCAGCGTGTGACAGGATTTTACTATTCCAGCAGCTGTGGAACGTTGTCCCTCCTGCATATCGTCGAGTATCTTAGTAGTAGTGAAATGTTGAAGGCAGCACTGTGCCTCCACCTCTCCTTGGGAGCAGACTGAACGTCTCCCCCACATATTGCCTCTGTACCTCCCTCTGTCTTTGTCTGTCTCGCTCTCTTCTGTGGCTGCTGTATGGAAACAATAAATATGCAAATGCGGTGAAATATTCCCAAAGCGAGATAAGGAAGCAATGAACTTGCCGTGGAGATAGGGTGCCTCTATTCAGCGGCCCGTGTTTGACAAATCGCGTTAAAGCAGAATGTAATCATTTTCGACAAATGATGCACTCAAGGAACGGCAGATGAAATGATAGAGCTTTCATGTGCTTGTATTTAGTCACTCTGTATTAGACAATAGGAATTATTGCTATAGACAGTGGGTTGTGTACAATGGGCTGGCTCACAGCTATTGTTTGCCTGTCCTTGTTTTAGAAAATTAAGCTGCATGTTTATTTGGTAGGGAGAGTGAGTTCAGACAAACAAAAGCGAAGGCTAAAAATGTTGCGCGGCTGTTTTCATGTCACTCAAAAGTCTTCCAAATAATTCAAACTTAATGAAGCTTCAGCCATCTACCTTTTCCACATACAACATTTTTACTCATCATGATGTTAAAGCAGAACAGTACGATGTGACGGTATGGTGAAAAAGAGGAAGTAATATGCTCTTTTCTTATTTACGTCTTAGTTCGCAGACTGCAGTCCAAGGGAATCCTGGTCCAGATTTTTCCTCTGCACGAACAGGAGGAACTGAAGAGACTGTCTTTTTCTTGGTACAAAAAGGTGAAGTTGTCCTTTCAACCTCTCGGTAAGTGAAGGAAGTGCCAATTATCTCTCATTGTCTTTCTTGTGAAAACCTTGTGAGATAAGCACACATAATCCACATTATCCAGGATGAACAGTTGTTTTGATGTACAGAGGGAATCTGTTCTGAGACGTTGGATTGTTACTCCTTCCGTATGCTTAAATACCTCTGCCTTCACAATGATTATCCTGATGCTCCTTTTGCCTTCCAGCGCAGAGTTGTTCTCAACTTTTATGGATGCTTTTAATTCATAATCACCATTTTCCTTTTTATTTAATTTTTTTGACAAACATGTTTTTGTTAACATGTTTCTAGCTACAACTTTCTCCTTCATTCTCTATCCACAGATAACATCAGACACTATTATGGTGAGGGTCTGGCCCTCTACTTTGGCTTCCTGGAATACTTTACCTTTGCCCTGGTGCCTATGGCTCTCATTGGAGTGCCTTACTACGTGTTTGACTGGGAGGACTACGACAAATATGTTGTCTTTGCTGTGTTCAACTTGGTCTGGTGCACTGTTATTTTAGAGGTATGGACAGTGATTGGATCTACTTAACCAGAGTCATTTTACAATCTAAGGTGCTTAAAGGACCGGTGTGTAGGATTTTTTATCTATTGGTGAAGTTGAAGCTTGCAACCATTTGAATACAGTTCAGCCTTCCAAATGTGTAGGAGAAACTGCGCTGGCTGTGCAACTCACAAAAAAGGTTAAAGGCCCTAACCAGAGCCAGTGTAGTTTGTCCACTCTGGTCTACTGTAGAAACATGGTGGTGTAACATGGTGGACTCCATAGAGTTATCTGTAGATAAAAAGAGCTCATTCTAAGGTAACAAAAACACAATGTCTTTTATTTTCAGGTGATTATACACTAATGAAAACATACCTATGGATATTATATTTCATTTCTGACGAATAGATCCTCCTAACTGTTACACACTGCACCTTTAAACAACTTCTAAAAAATGAATGAAGGAATATTACTGTAGAACAATGAATGCCAGTCTAGTGAAAGCTGAGTAAGTGATTAGCTGAACCTTTCTCCTCCACCAACAGTTATGGAAGCGTTGCAGCGCCTCACTAGCTTACCAATGGGGCACACTGAGCAGGAAGAAGGCCTTTGAAGAGCCCCGTCCCGGTTTCCACGGCGTCCTTGGGTTCAACCCCGTGACGGGCCGTGAGGAGCCTCTCTACCCCAACGCCAAGAGGCAGCTGCGCATCTACCTCGTGTCCCTGCCCTTCGTCCTGCTCTGCCTCTACCTGTCCCTCTACGTCATGATGATCTACTTTCAGATGGAGGGATGGGCACTGTCAATCCACGACGAGGACCCCACATTCTGGACGGGAATTCTGTTATTCATCCCCAGTATTATCTACGCTGTGGTCATAGAGATTATGAACCTCATCTACAGATACGCTGCTGAGTTCCTCACTGAGTGGGGTGAGTAGTAATGATTTGCACTTAATCAGAAACAAATAGTCTATTATTCAGCACAAAGTCAATCAACAATAGTTCTGATAACTGAGTCACTGTTTAAGGCATGAAAAGATTATCCCAGTTCCACCTTCTTAAATGTGAGAATTCCTTGCTTTTATCATCATAGTAAAGAAGATATTTTTAGGTAAAAAAAAGAGAGAGAGATGCCACATTAAGGTCTGCGGCTGTGTGATGGGCATTCTTTGGTATTTTGGGAAATGTAATATATTATTAATTAATACATTCATTGAAAAGAGAATCACAGGTTTAAGTAACTGATACGTTGCATTTAATCTTCATCCTCTTCATTCCATTCACAGTGTGAGAAATGCATAAGTAGTTTCCCATACTTTAAGGGTAATCCGTGCAAAACTCCTGCAGTGGCATCACTGATTGGTGCATGGCCAAACATGCTTGATAGTTTGGACCCAAAAAGGGTAGTTTCTGCCCTGTTTTATTCAGTGTTGATTTAGAATAAAATGTGAAGTGGTGTTAACAGTGAAATGAAAATACACTGTTGAGTTCTCTTTTATTCTAAAACAAATTAACCAGTTCTTCATTGACTAGACTCACTCCTGAACAAGCAACTTACGTGGGGTGCCCTGGTAGCTCACCTGGTAGAGCTGGCGCCCCATGTACCAAGGCTGAGTCCTTGCTGCAGCAGCCATGGGTTCGATCTGTGGACCTTTGCTGCATGTCATCCCCTCTCTCACATTGTATGCATATGATAGTGTGTTCTTTATCCTCTGAGTTTTCCAGAAATACGATTTTTTTTTTCCTGCAATATTGCTTTTCTTAATTGCAGTATATTAAATGGTAACCCCGGTATCGTGATAACATTTTATATCATCATATTCTTGCCAATATACAGGCCTACTTGTAAAACATTCATAGACTTCACATAAGGAAACATTTAGATAGTTCCCTGTTTCCTTTTGGATGTCAGGCAACATGAAGTAAAATGCAGATGGGCAGATTTCCTGTGATAGGCTGTAGGCTTGAATGTATTTCTGTATGAGTGCTGACGCGTGATCTCTGCAGTTCATTTGCATTACTGACGGGCTCCAAATGTGTTTTCCCCTCTGTGTATTTAGAAAATCACAGACTAGAGTCTTCATATCAGAATCACCTGGTCCTCAAAGTATTAGTAGTGAGTATGAATCCCATATTTATGTTTTCCAGCATTGCCAATTTCATCCTCCAGTGATCACAGAGCAGCTTTTCTTGTCAACGCTCCACTTATCATCGCTGTCTCGACTCTTTTCCCCATAGTTCAACTTCTTCAACTGTTTCGCCTCACTCTTCTACATCGCCTTTGTGATGCAGGACATGGTGCTGCTCAGACAGGTAGGCTATCCTCCCCTCCATCCCTCTTTTATTCTCTTTACGGTTCTTCTCTTCCTTCTTCCCTTCATCCGTCATTTTTCTTATTTTATTTTCTTCCTTGTTAGTTGCCTTGTTTTGTTTTCATCTTGCATTTCCTTCCTATATCCTATTCTTTTCTTCCTTTCTTCCCTCCTTTGCTTTTCTTTGTTTCTTTTCTGTACCATTCTCACCTTCCAAGTATCCTTCCCTCCTCTTTTCCTCTTTAATTCCTACCTTCACTTTCTATGTGGTGTTTATTTACCTCCCTCTTCCCTTCGTCCCACTCCCTTATAATTTGTTCTGCCCTTCTTTTTGCTCTACTTGGTTTCTGTGGTCATCTTCTGTTCTTCTCTCTGTTCTTGTCTGTATCCAGAGTCTGGCCACATTGCTGATCACCAGTCAGATCTTGAATCAGTTCATGGAGGCCTTCCTGCCTTACTGGCTTCAGAGGAGACGCAACAAGAAGTTGATCCGCAAAGTCCAGAAGAGACAAACTCTGGGCGACAAAGAGCTTCCTCTGGCCGAGCAGGTCCGACTGGAGGCTGACATGAGCACGTACCTGGTGGGTGCAGAGGGACATTCATTCAGATTTGGATAAAACTTTTGATTTCACGATTTTGTATTCTGTAATTTTATAAATTCCTTCAATACATGAGACAAATGAGCCATATGTCTCCATATGTGTGTGCGTGTCTCTTTTCCTCAGGGTACGTTTGACGACTACCTGGAGCTGTTCCTGCTGTTCGGTTACGTCAGTCTGTTCTCCTGCGTCTACCCTCTGGCTGCCGTGCTGGTGGTATTGAACAACATCACAGAGGTTTACTCTGATGCCTTCAAGCTGTGCCGTGTGTTCAAACGACCCTTCTCAGACCCGGCAGCAAACATAGGAGTCTGGCAGGTGAGAAACGCAAAGACTGCTAGCTTGTTTGTGAACCACTATGTCGGTTTGATTCACCAACTTTTGTGGATTTATCTGATTTTTCTTCCTGACACAAAGGAGGCAGTGGATGTTATTTTTAGAAAATAACAAGCTAAACACATGACCTGGTGTTCTTCATTTTTAAAGTGGAGGCTTGACACACATATCCTCTCTTGTTGCCGTAGCTGTCTTCCGTCTGAAATGTTATCTGGGTGAATATTACACCTCCCCAGGGACAGAATATTGTTGGTCTTTCCTAATCTGAGCAGTGGCAGTTGATTAAGAACAAGGTATCACTTACTCTGCTGTTTCCATTTTTGGAAGCAAGTCACTGACCGTTGCTGTCTCTCTGTTCTGTGTCCAGCTCGCCTTTGAGGCCATGAGTGTGATAGCTGTTGTGACCAACTGTGCGCTGATCGGCATGTCTCCACAAGTCAAGGCTTACTTCCCCGAGTCAGAGACACAGCTCATACTGTGGACAGTGGCCATTGAGGTAATTCATGTACACACACACACACACACACACACACACACACACACACACACACAGACAAAGACTCTCCTATGTGCATGATCCCATACTGTATCTAGCTATGTAGGACAGTAGGCCTTTGTGTCTTGGGCAGACAGCATCTGTGTTGTATTTTTGCAGTACATCAGTGGTATTCCACTGTAATTGTTTCAGTGTGACATATAATAAAACAAGGCTGGTCTTGTATCAGAACAGCAAAAGCACAACCAGCCTGTAAAGATCAGGGGCAAGTCAGTTTTTCAAAGTGAGGATGTCCAGAGCCAATCTGTAGGATTGTTTGCAGCCTAGGGAGGATTTTTTTAATTTTTATCAGTATTGGCTATAAAAATACTAATTCTCTTCTCATTTTTGTTTAGTTGTAACCCACTGAGCTCTGGGTGCACTACCAACCAAACCCTGCAGTATGCTACATTACAACTAGAACCTACTATGTTTAAATGGTGAGACAGTCTAGCATATTTGTAGGATGTTCAATTAGGAGTGTGCAGTATCTATTCTGCATAACTCTCTAACCCAAATAATCCAGCCTGCAAGATTATAAGCATCTCTTATAATTTTTTCCAGTTGCTTCATAGCAATTTAAACCACCCCCTTCATGTACAATTAAAATAAGAAGACAAAAGTTATGGCAAAGGTCAAAGCCCACAAACGTGTGCAAATGGTTGATAAAAAGAGAGCAGGTTTTGCAGCTTATGAAAAAAAAAAAAGTGTGCTTTCTAATAGTCATTGAACAGTGAAATGACACTCCTATGGGATGACAATATCAGCTGTGGCCTCAATTCAATTTGAGTTTAAGACATCTGCCCTAACCGTAACCTTAGAATTCAAATTCTGTCCTGTGTTTAACTGTGTTTAATGTTGACTCACTTTAGGCTGTGTGTTCTGTGCAGCTATATAATGCAGGAAAACATGAATATTAAATTAGAGCACGTTATCAGCAGGATTAAATTAGGACTGGGGGTATAAACAACTCGATTGTTACATGTTTAGTTCAAAATGTAGACTTCACTGAATTTGGTTGAAAGTGAATAGATCTCTTTCACAGTTAACGATGGCTCAGTTCCATCAAGTGTGTCTGTAAGCCACAACAGTGAGCCAGAACGCACAACAGCAGGACCCTGAAAGTAGCTCACCTAAATGGTCGTTTTATCAGTTACACCTGTGCTTTTCCTGCTATGGCCTGCCAAGATGTCTGCTGTGAAAATGGTCTCAGTTCTGTCGATATAGGCTGGATAAAACAACATTCTTCCTACTGTGTTCAGTGTTTAAACCACTGTAAGAACATTCACACAGCTGTTTCTAGTCCAGGGGTTCCCAAACTATTTCCCTTGGACGACCAAAAATGTCATCAGGATATAGATTATGAAAGATAATGGATAATGATATCAAAGAAAATTTTTTCCTCACAAAATATTTTAAAACAAAGCTTATTTGTTTTTTCTCTACAAATACGTCTCACCCTGCTCCTAATTGAAATAAAGTCTGCTCCGACTGCACCTTGACAAGAGGTCTAATCAGGCCAAATAAAGTGAAAGCACCTGGGTGCGTGCACCATTGGTGAAACAGGCCTTTAATCGAAACATGGCTGCTGTGTGCCTGTATGCGTCCTCAACCATACTACAGGAGTGGAGGGGCTGATGAAGATCTTTGCTCACTAGATGGAGCCAAAGTCTAAACTAGATCTAGATGGGTGAGAGAAACTGAGGGGAGAGGTGTGTGTGTGTGTGTGTGTGTGTGTGTGTGTGTGTGTGTGTGTGCATAATTATTTTTTGCATAATTTGTGTATTGCTGTCAGCCTATCATTTGGGCTTGTGTGTGTGTGTGCGCGTGTGCGTGCCTGTGTGCGTGTTAAATCCAGCATTCTAGCTCCAGATTCCCTCTCCTGAGTCCACCTCTATTAACGTTCTATTCAGACAGCACAAACACACTGTCTAACACACCACCACACACCTACACCGCATGCTTCCAGAGAAAAAGCTCAAAATAACAGCAAAACAGAGAAATAGTGGGACTGTAGTGAATGGGGGGTGGTGATGACATTCAGAGAGAAAACATTTCTACGTTTGTGCTGCTTTAGCAAGCTCCTGCAGAATAATTGTTTTAGGCATCTTTTTATTGTTTTAGACTGTACAACGCTCTATAAAGTCATACTGTACTTGACTGTACAGCGGGTCTCTGCTGGTGTTAAGGCAGAAACTGGGTCATATTGATCGTCTGAATGTTTGATTGAATGTGTGGTCTGCACACACAGCGCTGAATGATAAACTCCACTGCTCATGGAAAAGTTGTCCGCTGTGTGTGTTTTATCTTCTCCAGCAGCTGTCAGGATAAACTTGTGTTTGATTAAAGCTTCCTTTGGCGGGAGTTCTCTTTTGGTGAGAGATAGATGGAGTTGTTTCTGCCTCGTTCTGCCTCACAGGCTACTGCAGGTTTAGATCACTGATGGATTTTGTCCCAGGAACCCCCATCTGGACAGACGTTTGTCACTGTTATTGTTGTGGTGTTGAGATGAGTGGTTATAGTGGAACCTATTTGTTATAGATTGCTATTTAGCAACTGACAAATCAATTAAGCTGATCCTCATTTTGCTGCAGACTCCTCAGTGGGTCCAGGCACAGTCAACAAGCTCCACTGTGAGCACCACAGGTATGATGACGGTGTACTTGTGCTCTATTGATAGGAGCCCATAGATTTTTACTTCACTGGAGGGATTTTGCCAATGAGGAAGGACCCACAGCATGTGACAGCTGACTTACTTCATCTAACTCTTTGCTCCTCTGGTGAGCATAGGCCATTGAGAAATATCCTCCACCTCACTCAGGTTTAGTTGGTTCTTTTGAGATCCCCCCAGTTGAGCTCCCTTCCAGACATTTCTCTCCTGGACTGTAACCTTAATGTGGTGGAGAGGCTTGCATGCTCCAGTGACCCTGAAAGCTATGCCGGATGGGGTTTAATACCCCTGGCAGATTCAACCAGATCGACCAGGTCAAGGGTGGGGAGGCGGTTAACCACCCAGCCCAGGAAAAACGTGTGAGTTGCAGAAATCTTGACAACAGCGTGTTATAATGAATATATCATCTTAAAAATATTTAATAAGCTTGTTAGCATTTGCTAATTAGAACTAAACACAAAGTGAAGCTGATGGAAATGTCATTAGTTTTGCAGGTATTTGGTCAAACACCAAAGTACAGGACGCATTCAAATGTGGACCTGATGATGGCTCGATGATGATTGCCAGAAGTTAAGAAATCACCAAAGCCATTACAACTCATCCTGAAGGGGAACATGAATGTTTGCACCAAATTTCATGATAATCCATCCAACAGTTGTTGAGACATTTCACTCAAACTCACAAATGTGGACCTCCTGGTGGTGCTAGAGGAATAGTCAGGGGATCAGCAATCCTCAAGATTCATCCTCTGTTAACCACATTTTCACTGAATTCATGGCAATCCATCCAGTACTTGTTAAGATATTTCAGTCTGGACCAAAGTTGACGGACATTGCCATCCATAGAGCAATGAGTATCGCTAGGAACAGGACTGCATTTTAGTTAGGATAGATTCTCAAATTTGAATGGTTTCTGGTTTCTGGTTTGTGGACAAAACAAGACATTTGGAAAACGCTGATCAACATTTTTCATAATTTTATGACATTTTATAGACCAAACAACTAACTGATTAATGGGGAAAGCGGGCGATAGATTAACTGATAACAAAAATTGTTAGTTGTTGTAGTAAATTGATGTGCACATTAATTGTTCTTGGAGGGGAGGATTAACTTTTTGGTGACCTGCTGACCTTTACCCAGGGGTCAAGCCAAAGTATCAAATGGTGCAAAAAATATTATATATCTAAAAGGCATTAATCCTTCTCAGAGGAAGACCGTCCTGGATCCTTCCTCCAGCTCCACCTTCAGGCCAGTTGCCATGACATTTACTGAGCCTGTTTCTTTCCCCAAGGGGGTAACAATTTTTATCATTTTAATGACACCATGACCTTTAGTGCTGTCCTCAGGACAAACTTTATATGTTTAACCTCACTGCTGGTAAGGCTGTAAGAATAACAAAAACATCAGTATGCTGATTGTTCCGTCTAGCACTTGTATATTGTTTGACTAGGGTTTTATGTCCAGACTGCTGCCAGCAGAGCTTTAGGCTTTTTGTCTTGTGATTAAAAAGAAGTTGGTAGGGAAGTCATGCACTCTTGTGCTAACAGGGAGCATGCCACCTCTCATCCATCCCCGCCTCCTTCAAACTGTCTCTTGGCCTGAGCAGAAGCGAACATGACTTTTTATAGCAATCGACTGCACGCCGGCCCCAGGGATGATTTTCTCTGTTTGACTTATACTCTGCCCCCTCACCTGAATAAGGACAGGAGGCGGCGCTGCTCTGATGAGCGCAGAAAAAAAAGGAGGGCAGCTCCCAGCATGTGTTGGGCTATTACTTTCGCTTTTTCTGCATGGTTGTGCGTGAAAGCGATCCATCCTACCATGGCATCCTGCATATGATGGATCGTCTGTACCTGTCTGTGCATACTGCTTTACAGTATATACCCCAGGCCTTTGACAGTAGGCTCAGATCAAAGTAGAGATAAGAGGAGCGGAAAAGAGTCGGAAAATGAAATGAAGGCGGACACAGACTGAAGGGAGGAAAGGGCTGAGAAGAGAAATGATAGGAATGAGGGGAAAGAAGAAGAGGAAGATGGATTGTGAGGGGAAGAGAAAAGCAGTGCATGTGTGTGTATGATGAACCTGAGTCACTAGCTGATTGTACATCTGAGCACGTTCCTCCCTGTTACCATCCAACACATTTCCTAGAATAGAGCAAGCAGGCTATTAAAGAGATGGGACAACAAGAATAATGAGAGCCAAGTCTTATGATGTTTAGTGTACCAAGGGGGAGGCTGCACACAAATACACACAGATGTCGCTTATTGACACAACATCCAATATATTGCCAT